CGGGTCTTGAACCCGCAGGCTCAGGCAATCCACTCACCTCAGCCTCCCAAAGGTGTGGGATTACAGGCTGAGCCACCGAGCCCAGCTAGGTTAAATAATTTTAACTGCTTCATCAAGAACATTCTTAAGTGAAACGGGCATTTAGTTTGTTTTGCTTTTTAACTGCAAGTGCATAGCAATGAAGAACCAAAGGACTACTAGTGTAGTTTGGTGCCCCTCTCCAGAGGCCTGCAAAGGATCCACAGCCTCACCTCCTCCTTGCTTTGGCATCAGCAATGCAAATGGCAACACAGCAGAAAAGGCATCCATCTCAGTACTGCCAAGAAAATAGCTTTGACCTGTGGGTCTTTGGGAGTATCTTTGAAACCTCCAAGGGTCTGCAAACTAAGCTTGGAGAATCAACTCCTGGGCAGGTGTCACTGCCATGCCACGTGGTGAGTAAGCGGGAGGTGAGATGAAGGATGACCCCTCCCACTTGGGAGCAGTTCCTGTCCAGTCCACAATCCTGAGCCACTCATATTCACTTTTTCCATTCAGTTAAGAAACAGTTAGTAAGTATCTGCCACATTCTGCTATGGTGCTGGGCGGGGGAGACATGGTCTTTGTCTCTTGGGAGCTTCTAACTAGGCAGAGAAGACAGAAAACATGTAACAAGCCATGTTACACATCAGAAGGGGCAAGAAAATGGACTCTGGAGTCAGAGCCTGGATTTGAGTTCTAGGTTCACCAGATCAGCTGGGCCTCAACTTTCTCATCTGTAAAAGTGGAACAATAATAATACCTATTTCACAGGGTTGAGTGGGGATTAAATGGTAATAGAACAGTGCCTGGCACATGGAATGCATTTCATCAATATTATGTGTCATCATTTTTATATGAAGAAGTTTAAAAAATACATATTTTGCACAAACATACATGATGCCCAGGCTGTGCCCTTACTAAGTTACAGTTTACAGGGATGGAATATAGGCATGTGTGTTCTGAAAAATTTTCACAGATGATTATGACCCCATGTATAAAGAGGCTAAAGCCACTGGTTCTACAGGAGAAGTGAGTGATGGAGAGAGAAAGGGTTACCAAAACACAGAGCAGGGAGTAGGCAATTCTTAAGAGGTGGGAAGGGGAGGCAAAGCTGGATAGTCAGAGAGGGCTTGATTTTCATGAGACAATGACTCCTGCTCCAGGTCTGGAGTTTTCCAAGTGAGGATGAAAGTGGGGGCATTTCAGGAAGGAAATAAGGAAATATGGAGCACATGAGTGCTACAATCAAGAATCTGAACTACTCATGTAGAACCCAGGGAAGAAGATAAGGCTAGAAACAGAAGAGAGGATCTGATTATAAAGGGTCTTGAATGTCAAACTAAAAATTCCAGATGATTCCACAGAATTAAGGCCTTCATACTAGAAATACTACAGTTCAGAATCTCTGAACAATTCTAAGCTGATCCAGTAGGGAAGATTTTTTATTAATTGAGGTCATATTGAGGTAAAATATGTATCTCATTTGGATATTTGATAGTTCAAACTTCACAGCTAAAACTAGATCAGTCTGACACCAGTCTACAGAAAAGACTGGCAAGAACAAACGTGAGAAGGCTATATCAGTTCCTGGGTCACTCTAAGGAGTGAATCCGTCTAGATCAGGGTGATAAGAAGATGCTAAGCCTATGAGGGACCTTGAAGTCTTCATGGTTCTCTAGAGCCCTGCAGAGTAGAAACTACAAGAAATCACACATACAGTTTCAAAGGTGAGTGTCTCAGGACCAGTGTTAATGAATACCCAGAACCTAGAGTGGTGCTGACTTCCTAGGACTAATTAGCTTTTCACAGAAAGTGGATGAGACATTTGAGAAAATCCTGGACCACTGATTTCTCACAGCATTGCTAAGGGACCCAAACGTGGCATGCCACCAGGCCAGGTGGCAATGCCACTCCCTTACAAATGTGTGCCATTAAGCAGAAAGTCAGGGCTCTCAAGAACTTTGTGTAACTCAGGCTCAATATCCCTTCAATAACTGCTGGCAACTTCTGAATGGCCAGCATGGTAATAGACTCTCAACTTCAGACAAAGTTTCGTCAAATAAATACTGTTAATTTTGATATGGTCCTAAAAGAAAATGGAATCTACAAAGAGGAAAACTAGATTGACCTACAGTCATTCTTTCCTCTTTCACTTCTCTGAAGAAAAAGAAATTTCATTAGACACGTGCAGATATTTCATTAATGCAGTTCTAGATCTCATGGTGGTAGAATCCAACCAACACAAGTGACTATGCTCCTTGGCTGTCTAAGCATCCACAGGATAGATATGGGAGCTTACCACTTCAAAACAAGTAGCAAGCTTCAGCAAGACTTTTGCGTAATTATGAAGTCGTCTGATTGGCAAGAAAAACAAAGTATTCAGGGTTTCCATCAACTGAGTGTTTTCATCATTCACTTCTGACAAATCTTGCAATAGTTCTTGGTTTTTATTTAGAAAATCACTAGAGGTAGAGGAAAAAAGATTTAGTTAATCATTTTGGTACTGACAACGTTCATGATATTAAATAGAAAGTGTCACTAGATAGTACCTTTTACAGAATACATATTTTTAGGTCCTACCAAAGAAGCAGAAAATAAATACAATGATAAAAGCTAGATATAATTAAAAGAATTTCCGTATCTATAAAATAGGATTTTTCTTGTAGTATAAAAACTAGCAAATTGTAGCAATGGTAACGCTAATAGAAATGATTAATCACAGATGTGCATGTGTTCTAGGAAATGAATCACGCATCTACAATTGCAGGGAACCATCAGATTCACTGACACCATTACATGTGAATTTTAAAGCAAAAAGTCATAGCAATAATCAGCAAGATTAATTTCTCTATAATTAGTGTGCTAAACAGAAACACTAAAAGAAAAGAAAAGCTCCTTGCTCCAACAAAATTAGCACAGATATTAAAATACTTTTGATTTCTTTTTTCCTTCAATTATTGATCACCTAAATAAGAGTTTATTATAGGCTACTAATAAAAAGCTGCAAGAAAGAGTACTGCAGTTAACAGGAAACAGTAAAGCAAATTCTATGAGAAGATTTCAATGCTGAGACCTTCAAAAGCATTTCAAACTGAAGCCAACATTTAGTTTGTATGTTTTTTATAAATTCGTTATTAAAATTTTATTGCAAATTTTAATGCTGATCAGTAACCCATCAAGACTATGCTCACCAGACCCAAATACTTAAAAGGCTTGTAAAACAGTAAGAGCTGGTAGGACAGAATAATAATGCCACTTAATGAGCAAAAATTATGTACCAGGCACTACTCAAGTGCTTTACAAGCATTATACTACAATTTTTAGCTATGAGGCTTCAAGCATGATATAATGTTACATGAGACTACAAGGCTAGAAAACATCATATATAAGCACTTAGAGAATGATGGAGTAATGAGACAATGAGCCTGAAATTGTAAAATGTTATTTTGGAAAAGTGGGACAAAAATAGTATAATAATTTCCAGGAACTCAAAAATTCAATGGCACAAATTTGACAGTTTCAGAATACAATGAAGAGATCTTGGCTAGCACGCCCAGATTTCTAGTTTATACTTGGCTTGTGCTGATGTTTCCACTTCCTACTCCACGTCCTACTGCAGAGACCAGCTGAGGACACTGATTCTACTCTATAAGGTGAAATTGCGGCTCCTGAGAGATGGAAGCAGGACATGGTAAGCACGCTTTCCCAGGGACCATATTCCTCCTGGATTCCCAGCACCCAATTCACTCTGGACCAGAAATGTCCCAACACTTGGCAACCCGTTAATTTCCAGGACTCAGTCTTGTCTCGACCTGTAATCTTCCCTCAGAGTAGCCCAGGTTTGCTCCCAGGACATCTGAACTACAGACTCTGACTGGCTTATCTTTCCTTGGGAGTTTTTAGTCTAATAGTGGCAACGTTGGTCTTTCCTTACATGGCTGAATTTGTACTTTTACTCAGATTGTTAAAATAAAAACATATCAAGGGTAGAAACAACCCAGGTATCCATCCACAAATATACCAATAAACAAAATGTGGTACAGTATACACATACATTGGAATGCTACTCAGTCATAAAATGGAATGCAGGTTTGACATACTAATAAACGGACCTCAAAAACACTTTGCTTAAGGAAATAAGCCTGACACAGAAAAACAAACGCATAGTTCTATTTATATAAGGTACCTGGGACAGACAAGTTCATAGAGAGGGGAAGTAGAACAGACGCTGCCAGAGCTAGGGGAGACAGCATGGGGGAGTTATTATTCAACATGCACTGAGTTTCTGCTGATAGTATGATGATGATACAACATTGAGAATGTATTTGAAGCCCCTAAATTGTACACTTATAAATGGTTACTATGGCAAATGCTATGCTAGCACAATTAAGAAAAAAAGCCCCATATAATAACTACCAGGGAGGCCTGCTGTGAGCAGCAAGGTGGCCAGGCCAATCGGTGGAATGCTTGGGCAGCCTCACTCCAGACTCCCTCACCGCCATGTGCGCTCACCAACGGGCGCTAGAGGTTCTCAACTCTTTTCTTCTAAAAAGAAATCTTTACGATAATTTTAAACATTGACTTTGTAAACAAAAATTGAAAAAAGATGTCATTACTGCTTTTAACTATGCAAAACCTGGGGGTTTGCGAGCCACCACTTGGGAGATGCTGCCCAATTCAGACCTGGCATCCACCTCCCTGGCATCCACACAGCCTTCACTAGTTGCTTCTCATGTGCCTAGGCTCTGGGTGTGGTGCTGTGCAAGAGGCAAGAGGCAATTGACTTGTGTCCTCTCATCTAGCTGCTCTACCAAGACCAGTTTCTGAGTACTGTGAACCTGACTCTGAAATACTAGGGGAAGGTCAACAGAGCAGAAAGGCTGACAGGGTCAGCAAGGGTCATAGCCCTCCAGGACCACCAGGAAACCTCCCATTTCAACTACCACAAGTCTTCGCCTGTTTTTGCACCCTCCTGTAATCAAACTTGCTTTCTTCAACCATTCCTATTTGCAGGAATAACTATTCCACTTTCTTTCTGCTCCATTTAATTATTTGTTTAGCAACAACCATTTTCTCTTCTTTTCTTTGACCAAGATTCAGCATTTCACCAATACTAAAGGTGAAATAAGCTATTTCAGTCAATATAATAAACAGACTGTAAATTACAAATGTAAATTTGTCAAAGCCAAAAGTTCTCAGATTGAAAAACTAACAAAGCAGTATATCCACCCATTTGCTGGTTTAAGAAATATATAAAAATATAACAATATAATGTAGAAAGGTTAAAAGTAAAAGAATAGAAAATGACGTCATTATATAAATACTAAACAAAATAGCAAGATACAGGATTTTAAAGTACTACCTAAGATTAAAGACATAACATGCTTGAACCCGTCATAAAAAACATGAAAGCCAAACCCCATATTTTGGAAATGAGCAAGCACAAGATAACGGGTCAAAGAATAATTAATCCAGCCTGAGTAACATAGCAAGATCTCATCTCTAAAAAAATTAACCCCCAGCTGTAGTCCCAGCTACACAGAAGGCTGAGGCAGGAGATCATTTGAGCCCAGGAATTCAAGGCCACAGTGAGTTATGATCATGCCACTGTGATCCAGCCTGGGCAACAGGGCAAAACCTTATCTCTTAATTAAAAAAAAAAAAATCATAATGGAAATTAGAAAGATAGAACTGAATTAAAAAGTCAGAAGTGAATGACTATAAAAACAAAATGTATCAAAACTTGTAAGATACAGCTTACACAACAACTAGAGGAAAATTTATAGCCTTAAATTAATGAACTAAGTGCTAAACTCATAAAGTTATAAGAAATTAACAAGTGAACACAAAGGATATGGAAGGAAATGAAGAGCAGAAATTAATGAGATTTTTAAAAAAGGGGAAAAGGATCAATTAATCTTTGAAAGAACTAACAAAAGGGATAAATTACTGACAAGACTGATCAAAATAAGAAAGATAAAATTTATGACTCAAATTATAAAGGAATGAAAAACAGTGGTTACAACTACAGTTATTACATAGGTGAAAACGTCTTAAAAATGCTAGGCACATTACATCAGTAAGTTTAAAAACAAGGATGCAATGCATAATTTTCCAGATAAATTTAAATAACAAAAGTCATAAGAAGAAATAAAGACCTGAGTAGACCTATCCAATGAACTAAATCAGTAGTTTAAAAACACACTACAGCAAATATCCCCATGAAGGATATATTTTTACAGATGAAGTCTACTAAATCTTAAAAGTACAAATGATTCCTATCTCATACAAACTATTCCAGAAAATAGAAAAGGAGAGAAAACTCCTTCATATCTGTGGGTTCCAAATCTGTGGCTTCACCCTACCTTGGATCAAAAATGTTTAAGAAAAAAATTCTGCCTGTACTGAATATGTACAGACTTTCTTGTCATTATTCACTAGACAATAGTAGAACAACTATTTACCCAACACATACACTTAATTAGTTATTATAAGTAATCTAGAGATGATGAAAAGCATATGGGAGGATGTGCATAGGTTAAGTGCAAACATGCCCTTTTATGTCAGGGGCTTCAGCATCCTAGGATTCTGGTATCCTCAGGAGGTCCTGGTTAGTGCCAATCCCCAGGGATACCGAAGGACAACTGTATTAGCAAATTGAATGCAGCAATGTATTAAAAAACTAATGCATAAAGGTCACTGAATTTACTTTGGACATTCAAGAAGATTTAACATTACAGAAACCAACTCCTCTCCAACTTTGAGGAATAGGAGCATTTTAACCCTATAAATTATATTTCTAACAGAAACCTAAGGTCATCATCTTTAATGGTAAGATACTAAAAGTATTCTTTTAAAACTAGAAATGAGGTCAGGATGTTAGTATTCCTTTTATTAGAATAAGGGATCAAAAGCAAACATGGCAAAACACTAGCATCTGTTAAATCTGGGTGGTGAGTACCAATTTGAAATATTTCTATTAAAATGTAGAAGTTTTAAAAACCTGTCTTTGTTGCTAAGTCAACACTTGTTGAGAAACTTCAAAGTTGTGAATTCTGCCTTGGGTAAGGGGCTTTTATATTATTTACCCAGAAGCTAAATGCAAATTTATATTTACTTTATATTTGTGCAAACACTTTATACTTTTCCAGCACATACTTATTTGTTCCTCAGCAACAGAGGAGAAAATATTCTTGTTTTTCAGATGAATAAAAAAATGAGGCTTCCTGAGGTGAAGAGAGTTGTCCCAAGTCTCAGGGATAATAAGCAGTAGCACTAAAGAAGGACCCACAACATGCTACTTTTCATTCACTGTTTTTTCAATACCATACTACTTCTAATGATAATCAGGGGCAAATGATACCTGCCCTTTACAAGAGTTACCGAAAGTCTACATTTTTATTTGTTTGGTAAAATGTCCAAGTTAAAGCTTTCCCTGGGTACTCAAAAACACAGAACACTATAAAGCATGATCTTTGACTGTTAGAAAGAACTGGAAGGTATGTATTTGCTTACATGGCAGGCTTAGCAAGAAGCTGGAATCCTCCCATAACCAGGAAATTTGTAATAGATGTGCAATACCTTGAGTGGAAAAGAAACATATACATTAGTGTTAACATGTAAATTAGTTATTAAGAGTTTTCAAACAAGGACCTAAAACAAATACTTCTTAGCATCTCACCAACGAGTTTCAGAGGCTTTATGACATTCACTTGTACAGGGCAGGTTGTAGGGGAATCACAATAAGTGGGGGGATGCCAGCTTAGTAGAGATGGTAATATAAAAGGCTATATATATATATATATATATTTTTTTTTTTTTTTTTTTTTTTTTGAGTTGGAGTCTCACTCTGTCGCCCAGTCTGGAGTGCAGTGGCCACTCCCAGCCAGCTTAGCCTCGCCTGCTGGCCTCCGGCGATCCTTCCACCTCAGCCTTCTGAGTAGCCAGAATTACAGGCATGCGTTACCACGCCCGGCTGATTTTTTTGATTTATTGTAGAGATGAGGTCTCGCTGCCCAGGCGGGTCTCAAACCCGCGGGCTCAGGCAATCCACTCACCACAGCCTCCCAAAGGCGCGGGATTACAGGCTGAGCCACCGAGCCCGGCTAAAAGGCTATTTTAAAAACACCTGAAGCTGTGCAGAAAGTGTGAGAATCGACTTGGTAAGTCAATTAACAAACGAGAAAATACGATTAAAATGGGTGAATTTTTGATGAAAATGTTCTCTAATGTTCACTTCAGGTTTCCCAGTGAAGTCTTCAGGATGAACAGCAGTGAAGGCAAGGAGACATGTGAACGTGCTCAAGTGAGACAGTGCTATACAATGTGGGCTAAATACTGACATGGTGCTAGGACCCAAGTCTAGATACACTGCTCTGAGCCGTTGATGCTTCTCCCATACTCCGGGGCTGGCAGATAAAATCAGCTGACTTTGAGAAAGAAGAGCACTCCTACCAAAAATAGCCCATGGTACTGTGCACTTAAAAATTGTTATAATGGTAAATTTTATGTGATGTGCATTTTACCACAATTAAAAATAAATTTAAAAATCCATATATAAACTCAGATATTTTACTTTACATCTATAGGAAAAAAATATTATGCTAAAAAAAATAGCCCAAGGTATCAAAACAAAAGCATTTTCAAGCATAAGGCCTGAAGTATTAGAGAAGAAAAATAAAAGAAATTCAGGTATTATGAGGTGAATACAAGTCATAAAAGGAAAACTATACTAGTAAAGGCTGAAATCTTTACACAAACAGCAAACTCTAGTTTTCAATAAGTAAATTAGTAACAAGTTCTATAATTTTTATTTTTCATGTCAGAAAGATGATGAGTTAAATATCAAACCAGGATATTTTCTCTCATACAACAGCTATAAATATATTAAATTCTGCTTTGAATTAAAACAGTGTACATCTATCTGTACATATATGCATAAGTCTGAAAGGAAATACACTAACATGATAAGCAGGTCATTTCTGGTGGCAGGATTATGGGTGATTTTAGGCTATCTTTATTTACACACTTTTTAATTCTCAAGAAACATTATTTATGTCATAAATAAACAAAACGAAACACCAACAGAACATGGACCCCATGTAAGTCAGAGCTTTCCTGGCTCCACACTTTGGCTGCTGTGGCCTCAGAGCTCCAGCAGCCTGGCACTCAGTTGCGCTCAATCAGTGTTGGTTGAATGGATGAAATATGCGTGTAAAGAACAAAACCTATACTTACTTCAGATCAAAAGCACAGCATGACATGCCTTAAAATAACACATCATGCCTCACCTCATCACATCAAAACACAAGTTTAAAAAAAGTGAGTAATATTTTAAGTTATATTTTTAAATACACTTGGGATATTTCACGTAAAAACATGTAAAGAAACTTGGATAACTATTCTAGATTTTATTAAGAAAAAGTCTTTATGTTAAAGGTAGTTAGGCCTTTTAAATCCTCCATTTACACAACAGCAGACATTGAAACAGCTCTATATTTAATATCAGCACTTGGTCTTCAAATAGTCTGTTTAGTTACAATTTATTTAAGCAAACAAAATTGTTTTTCTAAAGAATCAGATTTATTAAAGTATATTTTATATAAATTAAGTACACTATCCATCACTCTGCTAGACTATAGAAGGAAACATGAGAATTCATTATTTTAAGCCTCTTTTTTCTTTAGAGAAAACTAAATTTAAGCAATGAAGAACTATAGTTGGCTTAAGATTAAAATACTGCTTTGCAATTTCTATTACCTTATATCACTCTCCCTAATCTAGTCTCTTCTGATTAAGGAGCTGTTCTCCTTGGCAGAAAAACCCTGCAGAGACTGAACATGACACGGGACTGGATACTTGCTCTGTATAACTATCCAAGAAGAGACTCGCATGCTTCAGGATGACCAGGCTCCTGGCCTCCTTGATCCCCTGAAGGAAGCTGCCCAGGGAGGCTCCATGCTGGCCAATCAGGTAACATAGCTTGCTAAACCGGCTTGCCACCTCCTGCAGCAGCTGGACCGTGGCCGTGGTGCCCAAATTTTCTGTAACAAAATGATGAGAACATAACCCGAAGACTGAACATACGATAATTATCATCACATGATCAAGATTATGAACTCTCCTTCTCTAAAGATTTGTAACATGTTGACATTTCTCTCAACTAAGGAGCCCAAATAATTAGTGTTACAGCAACGTCTGAGATCACAGTCATCATTTCAAGAACTTGGTAAAAACACATTCTCAGAAACCTTATAGATTCTGACCAAGTAGTTCTGGTATTGAGATCCCAGGAGACTGTGTGGGGTGGGGGGGTGGG